ATCGCTATCGGCTCCGCGGAGGGATTCAACCAGGCCGAGCGCGCCATCAACACTGCCTGCAAGACCGGACGGTCATTTTGCAATATTATTACTTATTCATCAACTAGGGAATATAAAGTACACTAGTCAGGGGTTCAAACATATATAGAGAAATAGTTGACATTTTACTTGTGACATTTTTCACATGATCCACTAACGCTCTCTTTTAATAGGTCCTCGAAACCACATGTTAAAATATTTAAGTGAATTGCCAATAGGTGTCACTAAATTATATTTAAACGTTTACATTTTATTTCATAACAAAATATAAAGCTTATTATAAGTTTGTAAAATGTTTTATAACAAATCAATACAAGGACATAAGGTGATTTACTAAACTTGACAACTAATGTTGTACTTTTCAAAGAAGTTACCGGGCAAAAAATTTTGTGCATATATCTAGTCTATATATTTCTTAAATGTCTTTGACACTAGTATACTAATAAATATTCCGTGTGCAGCTGGGTGATGCTGAAGAATGTGCATCTGGCGCCGGTGTGGCTGGTGCAGCTGGAGAAGAAGCTGCACTCGCTGCAGCCGCACCCCAACTTCCGGCTGTTCCTCACCACGGAGATCAGTCCCAAGCTGCCCGTCAACTTGCTGCGCGCCGGCCGCGTGCTCGTGTTCGAACCCCCGCCCGGCATTCGCGCCAACTTACTCCGCACATTCGCCACGGTAACAACCACAAAACTAATAAGTTTTGTTACATACGTAAAATAAAACAAAACGATGAAATCACAAACACGATATTGTATTATTCTGGTTTTAACTAGCATAATGTAAATTAAAAAAAAATATATAACAAAAGAAATGGTGGAAACTCACGAAAAAGTGTTTCTTAATCTAGTAATAATAATAAAGAGGAGATATTTGTATTTTTGTATGTATTGAAATAAGTCAAAAACTTACTGGGCAAATTTCGAAATTTCTTACACAATTAGAAAGCTAAGTAAGTAATTCCGGGTAAATCGCGAGCAATAGCAAGAATCTTAATAATTTTTCATTTTAGGTACCCGCAGCCCGTATGATGAAACAGCCATCGGAAAGAGCAAGATTATACTTCCTATTAGCCTGGTTCCATGGTGAGATATTCAATATTATAATCATTTGATATTAAGTTAATAATGACAGTATATTTAAAGTTATTGTAGAAGAGAGTAACAATATACAACCAGACTGAAACCATCATCATCATAAACTTGCCTTTGTCCCTACAAAGAGTAGACACCGCAGGTGCTGCTCTACCATAATTATCTATCAGCCGTCATATCTTCCACCAATCCAATCCAATCCACTCCCAAGAAGGGATCTTAAGCTTATCCTCTTTCACACCATCCATACTTTCTTACAAGCAGACTAAAACGTTCTCTGTTAATATGGGGTTTAAATGTATGTAATGTGTGTGCAGGCATCGTGCAGGAGCGGCTGCGCTACGTGCCGCTGGGCTGGGCCAAGTACTACGAGTTCAACGAGTCCGACCTCCGCGTGGCCTGCGACACGCTCGACACATGGATAGATGCCACCGCTATGGTACGATTTCATCATCTCCCCTACCTTATCCTACTTCCGTAGGATCATCTGTCTTCCTAGTCGTCACTTCAAAATTTAAAAAAGACATTCTAAGTGTTTTAAAAGTAAATGAGTGTATATATTTTTGATTAAATAACTTATGTAAGTAAAAGTTTGATAATCAAGTTCATAATTTACCCTTAGTTTTCATTAGTTAAAATTTGCAGTTGTCCATGGGCGTCGAATCAAGTAGCATTTCGCGATCCGCTGCTCGTTTGCTGTCTTCTACTATATAATAAAAAGGAGTATAAAATAGGCGACCTCTTACCGCCAGCTATCGCAATTTCAC